AGAAATGATGCTCCAACCTTTGCAGCTCCATTGCTTAGCAGTCTGAAGTTAGCACCTCTAGATGTGTTCAACCACAGATGAGACCACATCTGCATCCTTCCTCTTTAATCCCTCCTAGAGGTTGTGGCCTGCCCTAGACCACATGGATTAAGCAGTAAAAAGAATGTGGCATTTGGCTTTACAACTGAACACCATGAAGCTTTCAGGGCAATCTCTGGGTAACTCATCAGGAATTCTTGGAGATCAGGAATAGTGTTTGAATACCTGTATACCACAGTGCATCCAACCCTCTGAGCGATATATGGGGTTCACTGGGCCCTTAAAAAAGAGGTTTTGATTGCAGCCCTGCGCATGAATGTGAGGGAAAGCTCGTTTCTTGAAAATGTCTGCAAGTTGCTGAGCTTGTACTGGCAAATGGCACAGTTTTAAAATGAGGGGGTTATGAAAACGAATTTGAAAAATTCATATTTCCCCCTGTCTGAATGCAGCAACGAACAGGTTGCAAACTAGAATGGGGGAAAACCAAGCAGAGCTTTGAAGTAAATTTAGCAAAAATGCCATGCAGCTCAAGCGTTACTGGTTCAGTCGTCTTTTAGTCCACCTTGCAAGTGAGAGCCCAAAGTGACTACCGGGAGTGCTGCCCAAGCCAAGCCCAGCCGAGCTCAGCCCTAACCCTGGGCCAGTCTCATGCCTTTAACACCAGCAGCTGCATTTGCAGCACTCAGCCTATTTTCGTTTTGACAGAGTGGAACCTGTAATGTAGTTAAGCAGTTTTAGACTCTCGAATCAATGACCTTAAGAACCTCCATCCCTTTCCATGGTCATGTCCCACTCCATGTGGGTCTTTGGGCAACAGAGCATCACCCCAACAGAACTGTCCTCTAAGAGCTCTTCCATTTTTTAAAAAGGTCCGTACCAGTTTGGAGGGTGGTGCTGGGCTCCCCACCTGCCCTTCTCAGCCAGGCTTTGAACATCAACCCTTCGGTCCTGCCCTGATGGAACTACTGAGTAAAGAGTACGTTAAAAGCACTGTGAAAGGTGAGGCAGCAACACCTACAATTTCGGAGCATTGTTGGTCCCATGCTTAGGCCATGCTGGAACATTAAGCGGTCCAACAGGCCTGCCTAATGCTGTGCAACCATCGCGCCCGCTGTGCAGCATCTCAGAATCCTCTGGAATCTGGAGAGGGTCCTTGACAAAGAAGTCAATCACAGATTCAACTTTTGCACAAAAACGAAGCAAAATGGAGGGACTCCAGCAAGTCGAAAGCTCCAACATGAAGGTGTAGAGTGGACCATTTATTTTTCAAAATGCAAAGGTGAAGTTTGGCTTTGTGATTTCAAAATTTACATGGGCAGATTAGAACCTTGGACAGATTTTGTGCTTTGGAAAATATTTCATGCAGGTGTTCTCCAGAGACTACACTTCTTGCAGAGTGTTCACATATCGAGCATCTATTCTTTTGGAGTTTTCTCAGTTTTTCATTTTTTCCCCAACTTAAATGCACATCATTTCAAACCTAGAACATTTCTCCAGTTTTAGGTTTGGGTTCTTCTGAATTTTGGAAACAGTTTTACAGTCTCCTTGAAGATGCCTAACAGGTTTTTTTTTTTGCAAATCTCTCCTAAAACATGGAGTTTTCTATGGCTTAAAAAAAATTACAATGCACATTTTTCTGCAAACAGGTTTGGTAATATAATGTATATGTGAACATTACTTTATCTCATATGCACCCTTTGCTAATTTTGAAGGACAGTGGTTTGAAAATGGGCAGGAAATGAGTCAGTAGGCAATTGACAGCCCCTTTTCTTCCTTTCCTACCAGAGACTGGATGATGTCAAGGCTGAATAGATAATAGATAATTATATGGTTTTCTCCCCAATCCACTTTTTCAAGCTTTTCAGTCAAGAAATTCTTCTTTCAACACTTCTCCCATGTATTTTTACCTTGCATAATCAGCTACAATGGGCTATATTCTTCATTTTTCACTTTATGATCAATCCATTCTAGTTTTCTCTGTTTTATCATCTCTGATAACTGTGTGCTCCCTTTAATGCTGCTTATTGGTCTGCTTCCTGGGTCATTACAGTCATAATATCTTGCCATAAATCCACCTTTTAAATGCTTCTGTTTTTTTAGGGTAGGCTGTGATAAAGTCCACTATTCCATGCTATTCTGTAGAACTGAAAATGCAGAATACTCTACAAGGCAAGTTCCTGGGGAAGAGTAGAATCAATTAAAAATAGTCCTTGGCTGCACACTTACCATTTGAAAATGCTCTTTAACTCATGCTCCTCTGCTGCAGCCTGCTGGAATATTTACTCCTGAATAAATAATAAATATTCAGACGGAAGTGATTGGGTGGCCTAGAAAAACCCTAAATAAATAAATATGGTGCCTGACCATTCACAAAGAAGAGTTAAAACTTAATTTGGTTCTACATAACTCTCACAGCTGAACATCCAGAGCAGTGTCTGGATAAAAATGGTGGAATATGTGCTTGATATATGAACCATTTCAAATGTGTGCAGAATATCACGTGAGGCGTGCTTTGCCTCCTAGGGAAGGCATGCAGAGGGCTTTGAAGGGGGTTGGAGAAATTCGTGGTGACTTCATGGCATCTCCCAGATCAGAGGCAGTGCCTGTCCCAGGGCATCAAAGGCCAGGAAAGGAAGCCCTGCATGCTGCCCTGCTAGCTGGCCACTGTGAGAAACAGGATGCTGGGTTAGATTAGGAGATTTGAAATGGTCTCAGTCTGAGGGCTGCTTTCCCCTTTGGAGAAACTCTCAGAGCATGCCTTGCTCTGATGGACTAGTCTGAAGGCAACACGGAGCACATTCAAGACTAACAGACCCAGGCCAAAGTACCGAAGATGCCAGCAGATTTTACCTGACAGCTCATATTGCCAGTGCCGAAATCTTAGGAGAGCCGCTTCGATTGGGGAAGGACTCCATACAAGCCAGGAAACCACCAAACAATTAAGAGTGAAAGTGTGGGGGAATCTGTGAAAACCTGGAGAGCCTGAGTGGGACTCCCAGATGGCTTGACTCAGCTCCCAGGCCTTAGATTCTGGGCTAGATGGACCTCTGGTCTCTTCCAACAAAGTGCTTCTGATGGTCTTCTTTCCTTTGACAACACCTTTCAGAAAAGGCAGAAGTTTAACCCAAAATATTTATTTGCAGTTTTTAAGCCATTTCTTGCTTTCAGGAATGCCAGTCATCATTGCCATCATGCATTTCTGTTATTTTTTAAAAAAAGAATATCAATTCTAGTAACACTGTTTGATTTTCTGGTAGGTGAACCACTTTGCTGTGATTTCAAGGATAGGGAGACACATGTATAATACTCCAAAACCAAGCAAAGCAGCATGTTTGCCAGCAACGTAAGAAAAGGGAAGGGCCTGTGAAGTACAGGAAAAATAGCATTCTTGGCTGGAAGGAATGCTTTCTCACTTTGGAGGAAGTGGTTAGATCAAGATATGCCTGAAAATAGAACTAGTAAATCAGATACATTACCAGAGAAGCAGGAAGCAGGCAGAATTAGCTAGCAGCCCTGGCTTGATGGGCAGAGCACTTTTTATTAGGTAGTCAGGATCCAACCCACAATAAAGATGCCCCCACACCAAGGCAAAGGTAGCAGATGATACAAAACATATAGTTATGAAGAGTAAGGTCAAGTTCAAGATCTGGAAGAATAAGGTCATCACCTGACGTTCCAAGGGCCACTGAAAAAACTCCTCTTAGATGCAGGTGTGGAGTTGTGACAAAACTCAGCATATGT